GTCCTAGAAAGCCACTAAAGCACTAATAACCATGCATAATGCATTTATCGAACATGCTCATTTGATTGTTATTCAAGTATTGGATCACTTAATAATAAATTTGGGCCTCTCTAGTTTTAATCTCATATAGAAGATTGATGATATTGGGTTATTATAATACATGTGGCAGATTTGATATGAATATTTCAAACATGCTTTGCCGGTTATTTTACTGGTATACAACCTCTTTTTCATGAATTCGGGCCTTAAATGTTTAGGTCTGATATGGAAGATTTTTTGTTACATATAAATACATGTGATTGATTCTGATATGTTGTAAATCATTAAAATAATATGGACATCATATTTAAGCATTTGTTTCTAGCTTATGGACTTGAATGGATCGTGTTGTGATGCAACAATGTTTGGGAGTAAATTTAATTCAATGGACATATGTGAATGGTTTCTAAATTAAATAAATATGAATGGCAGCAAACATTTGAGTCCTACGATGTAATTGGGACGAATGATGTATTTTGTTAACAAGTACTACCTCTGGTCCTTAATATAAGACCTTGTTTGACTTTTATTTTGCTCCTAAATATAAGACTCCAATTCACTTTTTTTCTAAAGTAGTCCTTCTAACAATGATAGTTCTAGTCAATACACTTGATTAGCAAGGATATTTTAGGAAAGACAACACCTGTTTAGGACAAATAACTAACTCAACTTACTTCCTTAATCTCCTCAAATTAGTCAACTAGCTCTTATAATTAAGACCGGATGTAGTATGATAGATTTTATTAGAAATGATAGTGTTCTTTCCATTGGCAATTGACTTGTGAACTTTTTTTAATTTTTATTGCAATTATTTCATGGTAAACTTAATTTCCTCAAACTAACAAGCTAAGGATGTGTTTCATGGTAAACTAAGTTGTGCAGGTTGATATTTACCTCATGAAATGTTTGAACTAAGTACCCTTGAGCAGTGCAATGATTTGACTGTATCGTTTCTCTAAAAGCTATGGCCTACTCTCATGCTGATATTCTGGTTACACATAGCATAGGCATGATTGTAAACATATAGCCCTATTATGTTGTTTTCTTACTTCACTTCCTTGAGGATTGCGTTAAGTGGTTTGTGTTCTTTATCTTTATTCCCATATAGATTGGAAGTTTTCTGCATGATAAACAACTAATACCACACTTCAGCTAACTCATATGATTCAACAGAAAATTTTTTACTATTTTCTTAAGCACTCTAATTTAACAATTCTGCATTGTAATGTTATTATAGAAATGAAGAGGAAACCTTCCAAGTTTCCACCAGGTCATGATGCGTGCAACAAGTTCCTTTTAGATTCAGTCACAACTCCACTATTTTCTCAAGCAATTCAAACTTCTTTGAGAAGACTCATGATGCTACCAAATATTAAGATGCACCGCAAGTGTACGGGTCATAAAAATAGACAGTGGCAAATCAAGGGCGATCCCACAGAGAACTCAGTTAACAATGATTAGGCAATAAAAATTCTTTTTTCTTTCAAGTTGAGAAAATTAGGATTTAATGAAATTGAGTGAAAAGAAATTAAAATAAAACAAAACAAAGCTTTCTCAAATTATTAGAGAAAATATTAAAAAGGTCAACCTAGGGTCACTATTCTCTTGCTACCTTTCTAAACTTTGTTTCACTGAATTGATTAGCTTTAATGTCAATTTTATTAATCTAGAGTTCAATTAGCTACAAGTGCATGTCAGTCCACTTATAACCCTATCTTAAATTAATCATGTAATTTCTTACACAATTACCTAAGAGGCTAAACAATTCGGTCTCACTCAACAATAATTATATAGGGTAATTAGGTATATTTCTATCCTGATCACAAATTAGATTATCATCCAATCCCATATTACTTGATCTAAGAGCTTAATTAAAATCCCCTTTGTCAACAAAAATTTTAATTCTCAAATTCACAATTAATGGTGGCCAGTCATTAAATGGACAATAAAGCACAAGATTAAGTAACCAAATTTTAACACTAAACATTCTCAATTTAGTAAAAACTAAGCTCAATCCACTAAGAAGTTCGTAGTTCCTGTGGGCTGTAAAAACAAAATTAGCTACTCTTGAATATAATCATTCTCAACTCTAAAGCAACGATCTCAAATTCAAAAATCATTGTGAAAATCATAAGCAAAGTAAAGAGGAACCAAAACAGAGAAACAAGGAATCAAAATATTACTGAGTTATGGTCCGCGCGTTCCAGATTGAAAATGATGAACAGTCGCTCTTCTTTCTCAACTGATAACCAATGGTGTCTCTCTCTTCGAACTAGCTGGGTGTCTCTTCTCTCTCCAGTGAAGAAGAAGATGTTGCAGAACTGTTTGGCACCTTCCTCCCTCTTGAACTAGAACCAGCTGCTCCCTTGCTTGTCTCTATCGAGCTCCAGCAACAGAAACAGTGTACTCTAGCTTCTCCATAACCAATTTGGCACCTCCCAGATAGAGAGTTCTCCCCGAACCATTTCAGCGGCCTCCAACTCCAAGACGATGATGATTTTTCCCCCCAGCTCCCTCCGTTCCTACCAGCATCAGCACCTTTCAGATCATGATGAATAGTGATTCTAGGCCTCCCTTCCCAAGATGCTGTGTGTAGCTTCAACTGAAAAGAGGATAGAAAATAATAAAATGAAAAATAAAATAAGAGGGAAAAAACTGGAAAGGAAAGAAACTGAAACGAAAATAAAATTAATATAATTCTTAAAATTAGCATTAACTACCTATATTTATTTTAAATCAAGATATTTATGAGAAAATCCCCTAAATAATGGTCAAAATCAAATCTTCCAATTTAACTCTTAAAAATCTTCTAAAATGCATTAATAACTCTCTAAAAAATCACTCAATATTCTTTAAATGTATTAAAAATAGAGAGTTATCAAATTCCCCTACACTTGTCTCAAATTTTATCCTCAAGATTTTTATTTATAAAACAACTAAAGCAAAGCAAAAGAAACAAAATTTAAGAGCAAACATCACCGAGTTAGAAATAATTCAAACTATCAAGAGTTAAGTTTTCAAAAATTCTTTTCCGTCTTCCAAAAATACAAGTAGCAAGGCAATTAAATTGGTAAAGATAAATCATAATAGGAGCTCCCTCACTAGTCAAGTGTTTACACTCATCTCATGACAATTAAGGGCTTGTGTTTCACTCAATTCCATTTATTACAACCCATCTACCATAGGCTTGTTTATCATCTCAATCTCCACTATATTATTTCAAGGGTTCTAATGAATAAGGTAGGATAATGAAATGGAAAAATGATAATTAGAGGAAAAATTTAATAAGTGCTAAACTTTTTAATAAAAATCACAAGAAGAATGAAGGAATTTCAAGAAACCAAACTCATATGCTCTTTTTATTTTTCTGTTTTCATACCTTTTCTTTTTTTTTTTCCGTATGATGATTTTTTTTAGCTATTATATTTTTCCTTTCTTCTTTCTCTTTCCTTTTTGTTCTCTTTTTTTTATCTATACTTTTTTTTTGTTTTTTCCCTTCTTTAAAATCATTCTTTCATGACATCTCTTTTTTTTTTCCCTCTTTATTTTGATTTGATTTTCTATTTCTTCATTTTTCCCCCTATTTACACAAAATCACAAAGCACTGACCAACTTTTTTTTTCAATTCCTTCACTCTTCTCAAAAAGTATCACATAGCACTTACTAAAGTAATGAAATTGAAAGAGAAATTTCATCGTCTCAAACAAAAGGCTATCTAAACCATGTAATTTTCTTTAAAGAAAAGGTTAAGGCTCAAAGGGGTAAATCAAATGATTAATGTAATAGGATGGACAATTGGCTAAAATGGCTATGAAAATGGATGCCTAAATCATCTTTGTGCATTCAAAAAGAATTTTCAGTCTCAAAAGAGATTCAAGACAAGTTTTAAAGACAAAATCACAATAAGTGTACTCTCTCAAAAGAAATAAACTTTTAGGCTCAAATCCTCATAGGTTGTTGATTTCCTGAAGTTATTTACCAAAACCAAATTCTTTGCCAATTTACTGGTATTATTGGAAGATAGAACCAAATTCTTATCAACCCAAACTTGTCTAGGAAAACAAAATTTTTGTTCAAAATTTTCCTAAAATTTTTTTTAACTATTCATAAAAACAAAGAAATTTTCAAATATTTACCTCAAAACCAAAAACTTAAGGATAAGTTTGTGCAAAATCAATGGTTTTTGCCTCACCCCCACACTTAAATGACATATTGCCCTCAATGTGTAAAAGCACATCAATTAGATAAAGAAGTAAGGAGAAAAACAAAACTGCCACTCCCTTAACAGATGGGAACCAAACAAAATCAAAGCAGTGGAAGAAAGACAGCAATCCACTGGAAATCATGACAGTTCCAACCATATCCAAATGCAAAGAAAGTCATAAATTCCAAGAGTTCTAAAATAAGCAAAACAGACAAGTGCAACTAGTAGAAACAACAGTCAACATCAAATGTTAGTCACATACAAATCCAAATTATAACCAGCACTCAATTTCTAGCAATAGACAATCAATAATAAATCAAGTTGATCAGGTTAAAGTGGAAGGAGACTCCCTTTTTTGTTCCTAATGTGCACTCTCTGAATTCCTCTTGATCTTTGTAGCTCAATTGAATCACTTTAATAGAGGGACACTAAAGTCCTACAAAATGAAAGCAAACATCAAAACAACTCAAGCAAAGAAACAAAACAGAAAAGTAACTACCAAGACCTTGGGTTACCTCCTAGAAGTGCTAAGTTTATAGTCTTCAACCAGATTGTCAGCAAATCAAGCAGGCTGAGATAAGCAATGCTAATGTCTCTCAAGAGATGATATAGAAGTGGTCCAAGAGCTCTCAGTTTGTACACAGTAAGCATCCTCCATAGTCTTTTTCTCAACTCTAGTCGCTTAAAAGGGCTCTTTACCAGTGAATGAATTGGATTCAACTTGATTGAGCTTATTTATCACAACAATCTTTGCACACTATTTCTTTTCTTTAGAATCCTTCATTGCTTTGTCCATGTTGAATTTAATTTGCTCATCACTAAGCCGTAAAATCACATCTCCTTTCTCAACATCCACTAAAGCTCTAGCTGTAGACAAGAATGGTCGCTCAACAATAAGTGGAATCTCTTTATCCTCTTCAATGTCTAGCACAATGAAATCAGTAGGATAGATAAAAGAACCTACTTTCACCAAGACATCCTTAATAATGCCATATGGATAAGAGAGACTTCTATCAGCTAGTTGGACAGTAACAATGGTAGGATTGACTTCCCCTAATTGCAACTTCTTAAAAACAAATAGGGGCATTAGATTTACAACAGAACCCAAATCACATAGAGCACGGTATTCAAACTTATCACCCATCAAACATAGAATAGTAAGGAACCAGGATCCCTACACTTGAAAGGAACAATAGGCCTAAATGACACTGGCGATCTCTTTGGTCAGTGCTACAGTTGCAAACTCAATGAAGTGCTTCTTCTTACTCAACGTCTCCTTCAGAAACTTAGCATATTCAGGCATCTATTCCAAAGCCTCAATGAATGGAATATTAATATGTAATTGCTTGAAAATCTCCTAGAATTTCTTATATTGATCATCAAATGCCTTCTTCTAAAATCTTTGAGGGAATGGTAAAGGCAGCACCCAATTTTGATGCCCATTAGTTACCTTTTTCTTTGCTTTACTCTTTCTTGTAGATTCATGTCCCACCTTCTCCTCATTGACTTTGATAGTGTCCTCTTTTAAAGCCTCTTCATCATCCTCTACCATGACTTTAGGAGTTACTTGAACACTAGAATCTGAAGACTTCTTTGATAGTTGTGGAATCTTAAGTAATACCTTACCACTTTGAAGAGTCATAGCTTTATATTCCCTTATTTCTTCTCCATGAGGGTTAGGAACAATATCACTTGGCAACCCTCTCTGTTGCAATGCATTTACTGCATTTGCAATTTATCCCACTTGCACTTCAAGATTCTTGATAGAGGAATCTAACTTGGCATTAATGTTAGCTTGATCCTGAGTGTTCTTCAATTACAAACTCATGAGCTTGCTCATCATCGCCTCTAGATCAGGCTTAGACTCTTGAATAGGAATAGATTCTTTTTCTAAGTGATGAAAACCAGGAGGGATCACGTGCTTTGCACCAAAAGTTGAGGCTTGATTAAGTGTTGCCCCATGTTTCCGAGAGCGATTTGAATTATTATGCCATCCTGGATTGTATGTGTTTGAATATGCATTGTTATGTTGTTCTGATGGAAGTTTCCAGCATAATTCACTGTCTCTACTTGTAGAGAAATGAGGCACTGACTAGTGGTATGACTACCCCCATAATAATCACAAGAAGTATATAAAGCGTTAACTCCCATAGGTCCACCATTAAGGTGCTTAACCTAAGTTTCTAGATGATTAAACCTCTTGTTGATTGCAACTAACATTGCCACCAATTGTAAAGAAGTATTTTCAGTGCCTTTCTCAGTAAACTTCACTGATATTCTATCACTATTGTTTTGAATGTAGTCAGTTGCCAAATCATCTAAACAACCCTAAACATGATTTACTGGTTGTTTTGTAATTCCGTCGTTAGTGACTGCATTCATCTTAGATTTAGACTTAGGAGTTAATCGACTACTAAAGATCTAAAGCAAAACCCATTTCTCTTGATTATGTCCTGGGCACTGCTTAACCAATAGTTTAAACCTTTCCCAAGCTTCATACAAGTACTCACGAAACTGTTGGCAGAAGTTTGTGACATTGGCCCTTGCATCCACTATATTGTTGTGTGGAAAGAACCTTGCTCTAAACTTCTCTTCCAGATCATCCCATGACTTCACACTTCCTTTCTCTAAATTATTAAGCCAAGCTTTAGCTTTCCCTTGTAGAGAACAAGGGAAAAGCCTTAGATGAATGACGTCTTTGGGAACTCCATTATGTTTGAAAGAGTCACAAACATCCAAAAACTGAATCAACTGCTAGTTTGGATCTTCATAACTGTTTCCCTCAAATTGCCCATTCACTTCAATCATCTTGAGCATTGCTTGCCTGATCTTAAAGTTATTTGCTTGAAATTTTGATACTTTGATCCTAGATTGATAACCTTTGGATTGCCTTCCTAGGAAATCATTGACACCTAAACGATTGTTCTCATCCTCAGCCATATCTTCTTTCACGATATTAGCACCTTCTTCCTCTTGATCTTCAGGAGAAGGTTTGGCCAAGATTTCCTTAAGAATTCTTGTCTTCAATGGTGTCTTCGAACCTATGGATTTGGAGGGCATATAATTAGTACCTGAAAAACAAAACAAATCTTAAAAGCATCTATCCAAATAAAAGAACACAAAAAGAAACTAACAAAGAAATGTTTAAAGAAAATACTCAAGCAAAAACTACTAAAAGGATTTCTATTTCTAACCACCAATTACCTTGAGTTTCCTAGCAACGGCGCCAAAAACTTGATGCTACCAAATATTAAGATGCACCACAAGTGTACGGGTTATAAAAATAGATAGTGGCAAATCAAGGTCGATCCCACATAGAACTCAATTAACAATGATTAGGCAATAAAAATTCTTTTTTCGTTTAAGTTGAGAAAATTAGGATTTAATGAAATTGAGTGAAAAGAAATTAAAATAAAACAAAACAAAGCTTTCTCAAATTATTAGAGAAAATATTAAAAAGGCCAACCTAGGGTCACTATTCCCTTACTAGCTTCTTAAACATTGTTTCACTGAATTGATTAGCTTTAATGTCAATTTTATTAATCTAGAGTTCAATTAGCTACAAGTGCATGTCAGTCCACTTATAACCCTATCTTAAATTAATCATGTAATTTCTTACACAATTACCTAAGAGGCTAAACAATTCGGTCTCACTCAACAACAATTATATAGGGTAATTAGGTATATTTCTATCCTGATCACAAATTAGATTATCATCCAATCCCATATTACTTGATCTAAGAGCTTAATTAAAATCCCCTTTGTCAACAAAAATTTAATTCTCAAATTCACAATTAATGGTGGCCAGTCATTAAATGGATAATAAAGCACAAGATTAAGTAACCAAATTTTAACACTAAACATTCTCAATTTAGTAAAAACTAAGCTCAATCCACTAAGAAGTTCGTAGTTCCTGTGGGCTGTAAAAACAAAATTAGCTACTCTTGAATATAATCAATCTCAACTCTAAAGCAACGATCTCAAATTCAAAAATCATTGTGAAAATCATAAGCAAAGTAAAGAGGAACCAAAACAGAGAAACAGGGAATCAAAATATTACTGAGCTATGGTCCGCGTGTTTCCAGATTGAAAATGATGAACAGTCGCTCTTCTTTCTCAACTGATAACCAATGGTGTCTCTCTCTTCAAACCAACTGGGCGTCTCTTCTGTCTCCAGTAAAGAAGAAGATGCTGCAGAAGCATTTGATGCCTTCCTCCCTCTCGAACCAAAACTAGCTGCTCCCTTGCTTGTCTCTGTCGAGCTCTAGCAACAAAATAGTGTACCCCAGCTCCCTTCATTCCCGCCAGGGTCGGTGCCTTTCAAATCATGATGAATAGTGATTCTAGGTCTCCCTTCCCAAAATGCTGTGTGTAGCTTCAGCTGAAAAGAGGATAGAAAATAATAAAATGAAAAAATAAAATAAGAGAGAAAAAACTGGAAAGGAAAGAAACTGAAATGAAAATAAAATTAATATAATTCTTAAAATTAGCATTAACTACCTATATTTATGAGAAAATCCTCCAAATAATGCTCAAAATCAAATCTTCCAATTTAACTCTCAGAAATCTTCTAAAATGTATTAATAACTCTCCAAAAAAATCACTCAAAATATTCTTTAAATATATTAAAAATAGAGAGTTGTCAACTCGACAACCAAGAGGTACGCTTTATATGTTGTTTGTTGGCCAAAGATATAAAGTATCCCAAAGGACTTTTCAGACCTGGTTTTTAGTTCTTGTGTTTGATATTATCTTATTATTCAAGGTGCTAATAAGACTTTATTCCATTAATTGATAGAACATGCTAGAACCGACATGAATGCACAAGAGAATGATGCCCTCCATACCAGCAGTCATGTTTCAAACAAGCGTAGGCCAAAAAGAGGTGCACTACAAGACATATCCAATATTGCAACTAACTTAGATTTTAAGTTCTAGAATTACACACAGCCTAATAACAGGAGATGTGGAGTTTAAAAATAGTGTGGTTAGAGAAGAAGTAGTAGATTACATGCATTTGAAAATTATGAGCAAGTGATGGAGGTCTCTTTAGTACTAGAGTCTATTCCAAGTAATAATATTTCTAGCATTAATATGAGTTATCATTGCAAAATTGTTGTTTTATAGTAATCATATAATGGATTTTATTAAACGAAATTGGATAGATATTCTTAAGGCTAAAGATTTAAATACCACCAATTAATGATAGTTAATACACCGTTAGTATCATCATTGTTAGTTTCAGTATAATTGTTTCATATGAACAAGTTTAAAACATTGGTTTAATCATTAAATATTAATTTCATTAAAAAGTGAAAGACAAACCTCAGCTTTTAAATATTATTATAATACTATATCATTCACAATATTTCTTTTAGAATAATTTTTTCACCCCATAATAGTAATAACTAAACCATTTATATCACTTGCTATCTGTTTGTTTATATTTATTGTTGACTTCTAGAAATCTAATTTAAATAATCTTGTGCATTATACAAGTATAACATTATAGGTATATTAAATTAAAAAAATTCTGTTTTCATTGATTAATAATTTAATTTCAAAAGTCAACATTTCAACTAACAATAAATCTTCATAATAATTTAGTACTACAATATATAAGTATGTATGTATTAAAATATAAATTATTAACTAGATTGAGTAGTCAAATAATATATAAGTGGTAAAATCTAAGTCATTTATTTTTTTACCCCATATATAGTAATCTTTACTTGTCTTTTATTTTTAGTAATTATTTTTGTTAATATTCACTGCATCAATCAAGACTCTCATACGTTATTGTCATGTGACTTAATCTATTGAAATTAAAATATTTAATCTGATAGCCATTCATTTTTTATGCAAACACTCTAGATTAAAATGTATTTATTGTGTGATTTGTTTCATTCAAAGTTTGACACCTTTAAAAGTGTTTCATGACGTTATTTATGTTAAGATTTTATGTTTGTGCCATTTTGATTCAGATAATACAAAAGTACATTATAAGGGCATTAACTTTTCTTTCAATGGACCAAATAATCAAGATAGCGATAGCAGTGAGAATGACTCAAATCATGATTAAGGAAAGAAGCATTATTTATATATTAGTTAATAATATATGGAACATGTATTTTTTTATATATG